AGGTGCTCACCCCCGGCCCCGGGAAGCACCTGTGCAGATCCAGGCTCAGCTTCTAGATCCCAGGAGAGTACTCGTGGATTGAAAGCCCCCAGAGGAAGGAGGAAGCGCTTTCCTCCTAGACATCCTTTGGGAAGAAGTGTTTTCATTCGAAGACATGACCAAGAAATATGTTTCCTAAGGAAAGTCCAGACCTCCAATGCTGCCCAAGTCAAAGAAGCCCTCACAGTATCACAGGTTGTGACTGATTTCGTCTTAAACGGGGCAATGGGGAAAGCAAAATGAAATAGCGTTCAAAAAGCATAGGCGGTATCTGTGTACCCTACCCGCTCTTTTAGGGTTGAAAAATCTTGTGTTCACTGAGAATGTTGGTGGCATGCCAGCAAGGTAGCTTGTGTCGTTATCGGAAGGGACTAGAATATCTTGCTCTTGGTTCTCACCTGTTCACTCATTCGTTAATCCATCAACCCATACTCTGCATTAAACAGCTGGTCCTTTTAAATCGCTGTGATTTTTATATTTAGACATTGAGTAAAACTGTGGAATGATCAATTAAAGCCCCCCTAATATAAGTCAGTCTCATTTTAAAAATACAGTGAGGGCATTTGCTGACTCCTTTGACGCTATCTCAGAACTTTTGTAAAGTGTCTTGAGTTGCTTAATATTCTGGGCACTGTAAACAGTAATGTAACTTCATGAAAACTACAGGCTGTAATAATTGAAGAATCAGTATTGTGAGTCTCCCCCCAACCCCCACACTAACTGTTGCTATCAGCTTTATCTTATGGTAGAAACCCCAGCCTCCCCGTTCCTAAAGACCACTCTAGTTAAAATATAAACATACATTGTGAGGATAATGTAAATTGCAAATAATGAACTTTCCAATATGAGTTACTATAACCATAAATACTTAGAAGCGTATGAGGACATATCGCTGAGAACCACAGATGATAAAGCTATTAAAATAATTTAATGAGAATCATCAGGGAGAGGTTATACTACTGGGCTCCAGATAAATAGTTCTCAGGGAAGAATGACCATTTAAATTCATTGTGAGGGATAATTAGAGAATTAAGAAATGAAAAAATATCTTAAATTTGAAAAGTTAGAAAAGCACGTCACTGAAATACAATAAGAGACTAATTTTGACAAGTGTGAAGTGAATATACGTCTAAAAATTTAGGGGAAATTATATATTTATCAAAAAAATTAAAAATGTATTTTTATTCCTGTGTTTCTGCAACATGTGTGGAGGATCCTTCGAAGGCCAAAAGAGGGCATCAAAATCTCCAGGAGCTGGAGTTACAGGCAGTTTTAAGTGGCCTACTGTAAGAACAGAACTCTAATCCTCTGCAAGAATAACAAGTACCTAAACTCTAAATCATCTTTCCAACCCCAGGGAATTTTAAAATATCTATATCTTCTAAACCCATAATTCCATTTCTAGAATAATTCCATAATTCCATTTATGAAATCACAAATTCAGTTACAGACTGAACTGATATATATTGTAAATCAATTACAAGCATTGATTGATCAATTATAAGTAAATTATAACATTATAAAATAATCAAGTATAACATTGGCTAATGACAAGTATTTATTAATTACTGGTCCAATAAGCAAGAATATTACAGAAATGTTGTATCTAATACAAATAACACTGGAGTATATTTGATAATAGAGAAAAGTTTTTATAATGAATAACTCATAATTTACATTAAATGTGATTTTAGTTATAAAATAATCAGACATAAGATAAATCTTATAAATATTATTTATCTATTTTAATATGTACATAGCAAACTACTATGTTTATATGTGAATTATATTCTGTGTGTTTTTATCTTTCTGTAATTAGCTTGTATTAATTTATAATGATAGAACAATAGAAGAAATAATATAGCATGAGCTATTATTTTGAGTTATCAACCTTGCATTAATTTTTCTTAAATTAGTGTCCAACTTTATACAGTTGAATAAAAATAACTTTAAAACACTGAAAAATTTTTTTTGGATTTTCAAGATAGGGTTTCTCTGTGAAACAGTCCTCACTATCCTAGAATTCACTATGTGGACCAGGCTGACCTTGAACTCACAGAGATATGCCTGCCTCTGTCTCCTGAATGCTGGGAGTAAAGGTGTTCACTAACACCATCTGGTGAAAAAGTTTTAAAAGTATAAACTGGCACAATCATTCTGAAAAAAAGGTTACATTTCAAAGGATTATAAAATTTTCAAATCTATAGTTTCAATTTCAGAATCTACTCTTCATAATCAGGTTGCAGTGATACTTAACATTCTGATTGGGCAATGATATAATATTTACAAGAGGAGTGATTAACATCATATATCTTTCTATTAAACATTTTGAACTAAATTTGATTATGCAAAAGAAATGTGATAATTGAATTTGAACAACAACAACAAAAAACCAAGGACATCATTATGTACAAAGATCCGTATTTGTGTATTGTGTATGCATATATCCATATGAGAGAGAGAGAAAGAGAGAGAGAGAGAGAGAGAGAGAGAGAGAGAGAGAGGAGGGAAGGAGAGAGTAGAAGGAAAAAAAGAATAGATGAAAATGTTGATATTGATGATTTGGCATGTCCAGGTGCTAGAATAATGGGTGAGTTTTATCGTCTTTTTACTTAATAGTTTTTTAAAATTTGCTACAGTGAAATTTTATTCTCAGAAGTAGTATATAAAGTTCAAAAGTATTAAAAATTCTAATTGGTAAGGCACTCAACTGTGGAAGAATATACACAGACATTCACCCATGTATCTATATAGAAAGTAATTGAAAGGGGGATTGTTTAAAAATAACACCAACTTTGTGTAATGGAGACTTGACACCTTTTCTTATTGCCTGAGCACTCTTCAGCAAGTTACTTAATTTCATTGTCTCAGTTTTAATCTCTGGGAATGAAGATAATGCCATTGTATCTCTATGTTATTGGAGAATTTCTGATGGTGAATTGGAGGCATATTTTTAATATTTTTAGCAGGAAATGGGACATTCACCATTTCAGAGGAAGAACTGGAAATCCAACATGGAAAGTTAGCTCCTCAGATCTCAGTAGCAAAAAAATAAAAAATAAAAAATAAATGGGGAACTCTTTTTAGAACTTTCCAAATGGAATATATTAGTGAAATGGTTGCTCGCTCTTTTCAGGAATCATGTTCAAGATTCAAGTTTTAGGGAAATAGTCTGATTGCTTAGGTTGGGGTATGTACCCAAGCCTTTGCCAGAAAAAGAAAGTACTAGGTTAGATGAGCTGATCTGTTGAGACTATAGAATGGTGAATCAGGGGCCAGAGGTCAGTAGAAAGGAGTGGATATGTACAAGACAAAAACAGCTCTTGTGAGCTGGCAGACATATGATAAAGCTCAAATTTATATACTATGTCTGATGAAAATCCTGGCTCATAACATTTATTCAATCCATCATTGAGATTTACCTACCACCAATGGAACAAACCTTGAACAGAATTCATGTGGATTTAAGTGGTGACAGTCTAGGAAGATGGGGATCTTCCTTGCCATGGGTGTTTTCAATCAGGGTTGAACATTGAGTTAGTGGTTGGAAAGGGGGAGCCAAGGATGCTGGTTCCTTCACTTTAGCCAGGAAGGAGTATACCCATTTTGTTCACACTGGCAGAAACTATTTCCTGTTGTAAAATCAATGTTCACTGGGGAGCAAGAAGGGATAGTAAGAATTTTGCTCTGTGGCTTTTGTAAATATGTTTCAGAGACTTTTATGTCACCTACACAGCTGCCTTTTAATACATTTTAGCTCGGTGCTTACCATTGATATTGTCTCCAATTCGTTGGATGAGCCAAAGAGTATTCTAAGATTTCCATACAAATCTCAAGCCAACTGCAAATGCAAAGTACTGGTAAAGACAGCTCTGCCATTAGAGGATGAACATCAACAGAGCAAGGGACCTAAAACTACTGTATATGGAAAAAGATTTACCTTCAAGTAAATTTGTTAAAGCTTCCTTTTTTTTAAAAGTCGTGTTTTCTTGAAAATAGACTTGATGAGATTAGCGTGCAGATCAATTAAATGTATTTGACCAACAGTTCTGAGGAAGGAGCCACACAGAATTGGGCAAAGGGCAAAACAGGCTGTAAAACAGTCCCAGTGAAGGCTACACCTGATCCAGCCTTAGCTGTAACTACCCTTCCAAGTTGTCCTGAGTATAAATGAGGATGAATCAGTTGGTGAGTGGGCTGTCCTGGAAAGGTGGCCTCACAGCCTAGGTGATTGAAAAGCATTCTCCTGCTGTTGGCTAGCTCCTGGTAGCACTCCCAGATGTGAAGATATACAAGGTCATCCCAATGTTGTCAGCACAGCAGTACCTCCACAGTTATTGTGGTTGAGAATAGGAGTGCTCATCAATCAAATGGTTTTGGGAAAGAGGGGCAAGTAATCATAACTGTTCCAGTAAATTACCACAAATACAAAGTTAAAATAGTCGCAGAAAAAGAACATTGCCATCCTCAGTTCTTAGATTGAGACGATTCCAAAACAGGCAGTGATTGAAGCCATAGTCATGGTTTCACATAGGTGATTCATGTGAAATGTATATATAAATGCTATCTCAGAGAATTTAAGACAGAATTATGAACACAAATAAAATAACAAAAAGGTAAATTGTAAACATTGTAATCTTTCCAATCCTGTTTTAAATTTGCAGGGGAAAGAGTAATACTTATTGAATAAAGCAAATATAACTATTTTGTTTACTAAAACTACTTAGAGTATAATTTAGTGACTATTGTAACTTGTCCCAAATAACTCAAATGAAATATATATATATATATATATATATATATATATATATATATGGAAATTTTCAAATATTTGCAAGCAACAGGTAAAAGCAAGCATTTGGTAAAATATACTGAAAATGTAACCCATCTAGAATTTCTTTTAAATTCGTTGTATTACATATCTATAGATACTTGATTCATAAAATGTGTCACCATTTTATGCTTGATTGAGAAATGGCTCATGCTTCTTGCTGGTGACCTATTTTTATGCAAAGAATTCCTTTTTTAATCCTGGTAAGCAGGTTTTCAAGACAACTACCACACAGTGGCACATAGTGGATAATCATTTAATCCACAGATGCTTGTCTATAAAAAGCAAGAATAATCTAGCTTTATATGTGGCATGACTAATCAAGCTACTGCCTATTGTTTCCAAGACTGCTAAAATTAATACTTAAGAATATGTAATTTAAAATAAATGGAACATGGATAAAGATGTGTTCACAAGGCATATTAAACAGACTTAATAAAATTGCAAATTTTAAAAGGATGCCATTGCAGTGTTGGAAATATTAGCTATATTTCGTTGTATGAGAAAATTATATGTGATATGATTGTGGCTAAAATGTGATATTCTGAATTCACCATGTTATGAGCCATGCTGTTTGAT